AAAGACTTATCAGCTTTTTGAGGGGTGATTCAAAATTAGAAGGCTTAGAACTTGACGATAACTTTTTTACAAAGCTTCGTGATGAAAATATCACTGGTGATGTATTTCTCAGGCTAACAGGTTGGGATTTAAAGGAATACGGAATGACATTAAGACAGGCATTAAAACTTGAGGACTACATTAAGGGACTGTGTGAGTAATTAAATATTTCTTATAGCTGTATTTTATTGATGAGATTCTCATTATCCTAATAGGTCTTATTTTATAAATTAAGATAACCGAGAAGGAGCATTAGGAGTTTATCTTGTGAAAAATATCGGTTCGAAATCTAGTGACTCCCAAAATGAATAATTAGTATTTTTTATTCACATCATGTAGCGATAGCCATTAAGGCGCTTCGCATATTCGCAATTTTTATGTATTGTAAGCCAGAATTTGGCAATATTTTTTAAATTTCATAATAAAGCATATATTACATTCTTGTCGTAAATCTTGAAAATGTCACGCGTGATTTTTTTATTATTTATATATCTAACTCAAACTTTTGAATTATTCCATCTCGTATAAAAAAATATTATCAAACATGCAATCTGAGATCGATTCGTTGAGAGAAATAAATTCGAAGCTCTTAGGCGAGAATACTGAACTTAAGAAGGAGAATGCTGAAGTCAAGGCTGAGAATGTGAAGTTAAAGCATGCTTTGGAAGAACATGAAGCTAGGTTCACGAAACTAGAGCAGAGAGATAAAGAAAAGACCAACCTTATTGCCAAAATGGATGATGATATCAAGGAAATCAAACAATCATCGGCTAATGCCAGCTCTGTCAAGAATCCCAACAATGTTGTTCGCCTGGGTAAACTAGAAAAGATGGCAAAGCCATCAAATACATCTGATAGTACATTTAATTCTAATGCATGCAAACCTATTCGTACAGAAATTAAGTCATTGGAGGATAAAGAGACAGATGATTTCTTGGATGAGGATTATAAGAGAAAGGTTAGCGATGAGATCAGGCAGAGGAAGCGGGAAAAAAAGCTTCAGGGTGAATTGATTGTTCAGGAATCATTCCCAGCAATTAACACCAGTTGTATAACAGACCTCTCTACGACTAGCACTGGACTTGTAACTCCCCCAGAACAGGTAGTTAAAGAATCGATTCCAAAGGAATCATCTGCAGAGTCAGCGATACCCTGTGAGTTTTTTGGAAACAAACAGGACATTCCACCCCCAAAAATTCCCTATAATCAGAAAGTAGAACAAGATTTAATATGCGAATTACTTGAATTTATTAAATGCCATATTTCTACGTCCTTACCGAATCCTATATCTAGCAAACATATTTCAGATGTCCCAGTCAATGCTGACCTAACTCCAGGTTCTGTGTTTCATTTAGCTCATTTATTCGACAAGGCTGAAAAGACCGATCGGAAAGAAAAATTACGATAGTATTACTATAGTGAGGAATATGAAAAAAAGATTGTAACCTTTAGATCCAAAAATAATATTAGTGATCAAATGGCAAGAACGCAGATTTATGATGAAATGGAGCTGTATTTTCCCAGTAAAAAGAGAGAGTATTTGCGTAAAATGACACAAAAGGCTAAAAACATCTATACCTTGTTTAAAGGAATAGGAATAGATAAAATTGGAGTGGTTACATCTAGTGCTGATGCAATCTCTAGACTAACTGATGCACAAATCCAGAATATAATAAATCTTTATACTGATGAACTAACAAAATCTCAAAAATTGATCGGCGTGAACAATTGCTCATCACGCATATGTGGTCTGCCAGCTGAAGTACCAGCATTCTCTCAGCCAAATGCTCTATCGGAAATGATTTCATCAGACATGTCTCAAGCAAATGTACCATCTACATCCCAATATAATCCAACTTATGACCGCGCCTATTTTCGCAACAAAGCATTGGACCAATATCCTAATTTATATAGAGAATTTAGTAGTGAAAAGTTCGATTATTATGGAATTACCGACGAGACTCCATGTCCATTATGTAAGTTAGATCATGATGATGAGGAAGGTATAGAAGGT